GGCCCTGAGCTAACATCCATGCCCATCTTTCTCTACTTTATATGTGGGACGCCTGCCACAGCATGGCTCGACAAACAGTGTGTAGGTCCACGCCTGGGATCCAAACCTGTGAACCCCGGCCTGCCGAAGCAGAGTGAGCAAACTTGACCCCCTGGCTGGGGTTTTTATTGTGGCCAGGGTGAGGGTTCCTGCACTAGGGCAGGGGCTTGTGTGGTTTGAATCCCCTGCTGGTGCCAAAGGAAGGAGCACTCAGCCTTTCTTATCAGTTTGTCCAAAAGTTGGGGAACAAGGGGAAGAGGGAAGGGTGAGCCTAAAAGGCTGTCAGCAGTCATCAAATGGAGTCAGACTCCTCTTTACAGTGTATATTTATGTCTGTGTGAGTATACATGTAGATAGGCCTGTGTATAAACAAACACACACACACCCAAACCTATCCATCCATCTCTCCACATACATCTACATATATATCTACATATTGCAACTGCCTTTTCTCATTAATAATCTTTTTATATCAGTACGTGTAGATCAACCTCATTCTTTAAAGTAGGTGCATAGATTTCCATTCCATGGATGGGCCATAATTAGATAGCTATTATCTTCTTGATGAATAGGTTGTTTCTATGTTATTTCTTTTGGCTTTTACAAACAATGGGACACTGAATATCAGGCACAATACACCTTCATACATGTGCAACTATGTTAGTTCATTCAACAGTTACTGAGCTCTATTATGTTATAGATATGGTACAAATCAAGGTCCCAGATTCTTTGAGGTTACATTCTAGTGGACAATGCACAAGAGACAAACACTTTACTAATATGTCAGATATGATTAATGCTATGAAAACATATAAAACCAGGAAAGGAGATAGTGATGGGGGTGATCTCCTATATAGGGTGGTTAGGGAGGTTCCCTACAATAGGGCAGAGACACGTGGGAGTATGTCTGAGGGAAGAGCATTATTTTGTAGCAAAAGTCTATTTGATAATTTTTAGGTCAAATGGTGGACATATTTTAAATTATGATAGATCTGTCAAATTGTCTTCTCTATTTTAAAAAAATTTATATACTCCTTGATATAATGACATATTATTACCACATTTTTTTTTTGGTGAGGAATATTCGCTCTGAGCTAACATCTGTTGCCAATCTTCCTCTTTTTACACTTGAGGAAGATTAGCCCTGAGCTAACATCTGTGCCAATCTTTATATGTGGGTTGCTGCCCCAGCATGGCTTGACGAACAGTGTAGGTCTGTGCCTGGAATCTGTACCCGTGAACCTGGGCCGCAGCGGTGGAGTGTGCCAGACTTCACCACTATGCCATGGGGCCGGCCCTATTAACACATTCTTAAACAAGCATCCCTTTTTCTTTCCATCACCACCAAAAGGGATAGCTGGTTGTTTCCAGGCCATTAATCGTTCTTTTGTTGGGCTCCTCTCAGTTGATTTACCGTGCCCCTATTATAATAAACCAAATTTCCATTGATACTTGGATCTGTGTTGTCTCATCGTTTCCCTGACCTCTATTTTGGCACCAACATCACACCACTAATGATTGGAACTTTGTTTAATGCCTCTTAGGTTATTAGCCTAAGAGAGCCTGAGGGAGGTTATTTCACATGTCTGAAAATATGTGAAAACACGCATGTTTTCAGAAGTTTCCTGATTTATTTTACATGTTAATTCTTTCAAATTAACTGTAGAATCATTTTTTTCTCTCAAATTGATGCAAAAATCTTACTGGGATTTTAAATGAGAATCCATTAGAATTCATATTACTTTGGTGAGAACTATATTTTTACAATGGTGCATTTTTCTATCTAATAATTAAATAGATTTATTCAATTTTTCATGTCCCTTAGTAGTTATAATTTTCCTTATATCTTATACATTCCTTAAATTTATTCCTAAGTATTTTTGTTCCTATTAGCTGTGTCTCACAAATTTAATATACTGTATTTTCATTCCATTTAATGTATTTTTTTCTGTGTGTGCGTGAGGAAGACTGGCTCTGAGCTAACATCCAAAGCCAGTCCTCCTCTTTTTTGCTGAAGAAGATTGGCTTGGAGCTAACATCTGTGCCCGTCTTCCTCTACTTCATATGGGACACTGCCACAGCATGGCTTGATGAGTGGTGTGTCAGTCCACACCTGGGATCTCAACCTGTGAACCCTGGGCCACCGAAGTGGAGCGTGTGAACTTAACCACTATGCCACCGGGCTGGCCCCTATTTAATGTATTTTTTATTTATTTTTCTTGAGACTTCTTTGACCCATGGATTGTTTAGAAGTGTTTGGAGACTTTGCTATCTTTCTGTTATTTTTAGCTTGATACCATTTTAGTCAGAGAACACATTCTATGACTTCAATTCTTTTAATGTTTTGGTTCATTTTATGGCCCAGAGCATGGTCTGTCTTGATGAAAGTTCCATGGGCAGTAGAAAGGAATGTGTGTGCTGCTGTTTGTTGGGTGGAGTGTTCTATAAATGTCAACTAGATCCTGTTGGTTGGTGGTGTCATAAAGTTCTGTATCCCCGATTTTCTGTCTAGTAGTTCCATCAGTTGTTGAGAGAGGGTTATAAATTCACCAACTATATGTGGATTTATCTGTTTCTCCTTTCAGTTTTTGCTGAATGTATTTTGAAGCTCTTTGGTGTGTAAACCTTTAGGATTACTGTCTTGTTGGACTGAACCTTTCATCATTGTGTAATGTCCCTCTTTGTCTCTGGTCTGGGCTGATTTTTAGAAGTAGAGACTAACAGATCTCTTTCTTTTTGATACAGTGAATCTGGATTGAGGCCTGGAAATCTGCATTTTAAAAAAATTCCCAGATTATTTTTATAATCAAGCATTACTCAGTTTTTGCTTGCAAACAATGGGAACTGACTTCGGTTAACTTAGGCAGAAAGGAATTTATTGGAAGAATATCCAGGAACATCTACTGGATTGCTAGAGTCCTGCTAGGAAGCAGAGCCCTGTATCCCTCTAGGGAAGCTAAAGGGACAAAGCAGTTGTTCTCCCTGATCCTAGCTGGTGGAGCACAGTTATGTGACCTAAATTCAAACCTTTAGGGTCTCACACCACCTAGGACTTCGAATCTGGTGCCAAGGATATGAGATATAGTTTAGAATTCATTCTGGTGGTGGCAAGAATTTTGGTGTCAAATAATAGAAGTGGCAGCAATGGCAGAATCCAGACACATGCCTAACTATGGTATGATTTGGTCATCGTTCAGACTGCCTGGTCTTTTTCAGTTTCTACCCCTTTTCCCTTTTCTGAGCCTGGTTTCCCAAACTCCTGTTTGGGGAAAATTGTAACATTTTATTTTGGGACATAAAATCAGAAAATAGTATCTGTTACTTACTAAGTCAACTACAAACTAGTTAATGAGGTTAGTATTATGGGTTCTGTTTGCATGACAAGTGGAATTATTTACTGTTTTGGAAGATAGCAGACCTTATACACAGGATGGGCTCTCAAATTGTGTATCTTAGGGGAACCTAAGTGGTGGTAACAGCACTAGGCTGTGTGGTAGAGATCTCTGGGACTTTGGACAAGTAGTCACTTAGCCCTTACTCTAGGGTCATCTATAAGTGAGGCAGCTGGACTAGACCAGATAGTTTCGGTCTCTCCAAATTGCAGTATTCTGTGACCCTGGACAGCCTTGCTATGCTTTAATCACTTCAGTTTACCATGCTTTTGAGATTAGTTGACAACTACCAAGTGCTTGGCTTTTTGCTAACTTTGGGCATAGTCCTGGGGAAACTGACACGTGAGATGGAGTGTCTGAACTAGCCAGTCTCAGGGTGAGAAGATCCAGGCCAAAGGATGTATATAAATTGGCAGAAATCCATTCTAACTGTGGAAAACGGACACGAAACAAAAAAGTTTTGATTGGTTGTCACACATGAAGCATAATGAACACAGACAGGACATGTTATCTTTTCAGAAACCATGAGATTACATCTCCTCCAAAAAAACTTTCTCCTGGTTCATCCTGTCAGAACTGAAGAGGGAAGGTGGATGTCTGGCAGAGGGTGTACTCCATCAAGTAAGAGGATAGGAAGTTAAGAAAGCTGAACTGTATGAGAGAGGGGGTGGGGAAACAGGCAGATCTCCCATCTTCCCCAAGTGCTGATTTGCTCTGGAGATGCCTGAGGGGTGGGTGCAGAGAGAAGTCTAACCCAGCTGGTGCATGTTAATGTCAGTCCCAGCTCATAGAGGAGTCACACAAAATGCCCACAACAGCTTGGTCCAAATGAATAATAGATCTAAGATGTCAGGAATGCACAATTTACAAAATGGCTGCAAAGGACCTTCATCTGTGTACTTGGCGAGGTGAATCCTTATTTCCCCTTTGACATAAAGATCAGTTTAGAAGTGACAGGGGCGGGGGCTGGGCTGGCCCCGTGGCTTAGCGGTTAAGTGCGCGCGCTCCGCTACTGGCGGCCTGGGTTCGGATCCCGGGCGCGCACCGACGCACCGCTTCTCCGGCCATGCTGAG